TAAAAAGCTGGCTGCAGTTCGCCATCTTGGCTCCGCCCCCGATAGTAATACTTTTAACACTAAGTGACAGAAAATCCAATTAGTAATGGCTCAAACTATAGAAATGTTATTACTTAAGCCTGGAGAAACTGATTCTGGGTCTATGTAAGCAGCTCAGTGGTATCATCCAGGCCCCAGGCTCTTTTCGTCCTTCTGTTTTCATTCTTGACTTCTTACCTTTTTGATCTTAGGCTTCTTGCCTCATAGTCACAAAATACCTGCCCCAGCTCCGGAGATCAAAGCTTTCATCCAGAAAGGAGCCTAGGATGGCTTTGGTTCTATAAGAGCCTCCTTATATGCTTATTTTCTGGGGAAAAATATTTTTTCCAGAAGCCTTTTTAGTCAACCTTCCCTTACATCTAACTGGTCAAAGTAGAGTCCCATGGCTATCTCTAGGAGGCAGGCAAAAGAGGAGAGTCTTGAGAATGACAGTTGATTATAGATAGTCCCTGGGTAATGAACAGTCCTGAGAATGACGGTTGATTACAGATAGTCCCTGGGTGATGAACAAGGTCATTTCTGTGGGCTTGGTCATAAGTTTAATTTGTATGTAAGTTGGAGCAGGTACATAGACCTACTACATGAGCTAGCCTCTGTTCAAAAGTGCAATTTCTATGTCAGTCAGATATTTATAACATGGAGACTGCCTGTAGTTAAATAACGGTTTGTGCCTCAGCCAGATAATACTGTACCACAAATGAGGGGCGAGACCTTTACTAGTTCAGTCGTACGTTTCAGGGAACTAAATTATAAAGACCCGTCTAAAAACATCACCAGTGATATTGGGGTTACTCAATCATATAACTTGTTCAAACGGATGAATCATTAGCTCTCAATTACTTTTGGAAGAACCCATCAGCCTAATTATCTCTTCAGGTTTTTATAAATTAAACAAGGCTCTGTCTTTATCACAAAGCTGTTTTAATTTTTTCTTCTTTTCAGGAGTCCTATCCAAAGAAGAGAAATTACACTATGGAAATCATGCCATCTGCTTCTCTGGATCCATTTCCGTCAGAAAATGAGAACTTTCTATGTGATCTCATGGACACAGCTGTTACAAAGAAACCTTGTTCCTTAGAAATCGCAAGGGCACCTTCCCCAAGAACTGGTAATATTTCTTACCATCAGACCAATTTAATATGCATGGGGGTATGTGAAGATCCATTGTTAATATTTAGGTTTTCCACCATGTGATCAAAAAGAAAGTGCCTCGGTGCTTTCCCAGGAATCATTTTTGCAAGACAAATATCTCATTTTGCTTTATACCTGAGCTTGGGATCCTCCAGGACCCCATAGCTGGTTTGGTAACAAATCTTTTTATATACTTTTCTGAATCTTACCTATTTCCAAGTTCTCAAAATGTACTTAGCTACTTTGGCTATTTTGGCATCATCAGGTTCATTATTTTATTTATTCACATTAAAAACTAGTGGAGGGAGGAGGATTGGAGGGATCACTTCTGAGGTTTATCTTACAAGGGTACAAGTGAATCTTTCTAAGAGTAGAATGTGAACGTTTTAAAATAATAACTAAGAAAATGACATGAAGGCTATGTTAACCAGTTTGATGGAAGTGTTTCGGATTGTGTGTGAAAACCCCACACTGTACCCCAGAAGTGCATTCATGGACATAGTTACCATTCAATAAAAACAAACAGACAGACAGACAGACAAAAAAACTAGTGAACAAAGCAAGACGAATATCTCCATTTTACTGATCATGACATTGGAGCTGTGGCTGACGTAAGGTCAGTAAGTGGTGGAGCCTCTTCTGGCAAACGGATTTTTGATTGCCGCCACATTTGCTTTCCATTCCTCCAGCACCACCTTAGAGAAAGAACGCAGGGTAATTACAAGAAAGCTAAAGAGGGAAGTTCCAAATGAGAGGTTAGCATCTTCAGTGCTGCAGGGGGGTTGTAAGAAAAGTTCTAAAGAGAGGCCTGGGGAGGGGGAGCAATCCCTTTGCTGCTTACTTTTGAATGATACATTTTAGAAGGGATGTGGTAAAAGCGTCTTTCTGGAAGTTCACGGTAAAACACTGGGAAATGGGGGGAAATAATGAAATAGAAGTAGAGAATACAGATTAGAGAAGGGACGAGAGTGATGTAAGAAGAATGCAGGTTCCAGATGGAAATGGCAAGTATAGTTTGGGGTAAGTAAGACGTGGTCAAGTTTAGAGCTTGGTGGAACTTGGTTGTGGAGCAAGTTATTGAAGGCCAAGGGTGAAAAGACAGAACAGAATGGGTAGAAATTAAGACTGAGCTGGTTAAAGAAAGCACGGGCATTGGTGCCCCCGAGACCAGAGAGTGGAGAGACTGTGCTGAGGAACATAAAGAAATTCTGAAATATGTATTTCCAAATGGATTTGGTTTGGGGTTGAGGTAAAAGGTCATTGGCTGAAAGGAAGTGCTGGATCTTGAGAAGGGTTAAAGTAAAATTCAGAAAAGCCATTGTAGATAATAGGCTAGGAGACTTCATGGAGATGAACTAATAGATTGTTGAGCATTACTGAGGCTAGAGCGTGGTATGAATCATGAAAGGCAGAAGGAAGATTTTTAGGATGAGATAAGAGCATAGTAATGAAAGTGGTTAGAATTTATTGGCTGATACCATTTTATGTATTCTGTATGCATTATTTATTGTAATTCTTATAATTCTGTGAGGTCCTAATATTATTCCCATCTTATAGATGAGGAAACTGAGGCACTGGATTGTCAGGTCGCCTCCCAAAGTTGTATATACGTTAATAAGGGATGGATTTGTGATTGGAACTTGAGTTGTCCAACTTGGGTTCTTCTGATATCATGCTGTACTTTATCAGGGGGTCAGATAGAGTAGAAATGTTTTTAGGGATGAATCTCTAAAGAAATGCAGAAGTCCATATATGATAGCACTAAAATCAGGAAAAGAATGTTATAACAGGATAACATAAACTTCGGACGAGCAGCAGATTTTGGATAAAGGCAAAAGAATATGGAGGGACACAGTAGACATGGAAAACGAAAATGATGGTCGCCCCAAGCCATGGAAGTTGATCAGAATGGGAACTCTTCCGTGCGATAGCGGGAGGCGATGCAGGAAAATATACCTGAAAAAATGTCAAGGACTTTTAATTAGGGGGTGAGGGAAGATCCAGGGTGAGGGATGAAGGAAGGAAGGAAAAATTGGATGGGATTTAACTGCTTTATTCATCAAGCAGTTAAAAACTAACGGAGTGCCTACATTTGCCAGGCGCAATTCTGAATGCTGAGGATACCAAGACAAAAAAAAGACACACACCCAGGTAACAATGTCGATGAGGCTGAGATTAAACTTTCCTGCTGAAAACAAATAGAAGTGCTGGATGAAAATGAAGAAAAGAAAAACTTCTTAAAAGCATCAAAATGCTGACGAGAAAATTATATAAGTGGAATCACATCTGAATTAGGACCTTCTTTTCATTAGCACGTTAGTACAGAATAATCAGGCTAAAACTTGGGCGAGGGCAGGAAATCAGCACAGCGCTGTTTTGTCCTGAGAGAATTTGCTAAACCCACTGTTGGACTTTGGTGCTCGAGACCTTTATGGGTTAGAACACCGAGCACAAATCTCTGTGCTTGCCCGGCCCGGAGACTCTAATATAAAATATTTCTTTCATAGGTCTGACATTCCAAGGGCTATACCCTTCCCAGGAATCAAAAGTAACCTTGTCCCGTATCTCTTACCCCAAAGGGACTGCCAGGAAATAGGTTTGAGAGGATGTGAGGACTTCATGAAGGACACAAAGCCTGGATCAGTCATCTATTGCTATGGACGAACCCAGAAACATACTGACGACTAGTCTTTTATTTTGCTCACATATCTGCAAGTTAGGGGGGTTTCGTTTGTCAGGGAGAAACGAGGATTTAATTCCTGCCTCCCCTTGATGGGAGAGTGTTAACTGAAGCCATGTTCTAAGAAGTCATTATTTTTAAAAATTTTGAATTTTTATATATTTGTTAATTTTGAGACAGGGTCTTGCTGGGTTGCAGTGGCGTGATCATAGCTCACCATAACCTCCAACTTCTGGGCCACTGTGGTTCTCCTGCCATGGCCTTACAAGTAGCTACTGTAGAGGCACACGCCATTACACTGAGCTAATATCTTAACCTTTTTCTGGAAAGGGGGTGTCACTGTATTATTTGCCTGAGCCATATCATTTGATCTGGGACTGCTCAACTGAGGAATAGAGGGTGACTTTTGAGATAGTTTACCCACGTGTCTGGCAAGTTGGTACTGGTTTTAAAACTGAGAACTTGGCTAAGACTATAGGCAAGGGGCCTTTTTTCCTGCCCCCTGCCTGGGTTTCCTCCAGATGCACTGGCTACATTCTGAAAGTGAACATTCCACAGAACCAGGGGGAAGCTGTATCATTTTTATCATGCCATGGCTCCAGAGGCTGGAAATCTGCAGGGTGCCAGCTTGGCCGGGTTCTGGGGAGGGTTCTCTTCCTGGCTGGTAGAGGGCCGTCAGCTCACTGCCTGCTCACATGGGCTCTTCTTGGCCCATGCACAGAGGGAGAGCAAGGGAACGAGTCTTGGATGTTGCCATGGGTAAATGACCACATCTAAGAAAAAGACTGTGGAGAGAAAAGAGTCCCTGTTTTCGGCTTCTAGTTACACCTTCCTTCCTTTAAGTTTTCATCTGCTTTCTCCTAGGTCCCTATTTTCTCCTTCGGTCCTTTATTTTGTGTTTCAGCCTGTGGCTCGGAGGCCCGTCTGGCTTCTGCAGGCTGCCCAAGCTCAGCACTGACGCCACATGTTTCAGAGTTTTGTTTTGGCAACTCCCATTTCTATCAGAATCTGTTCTGGTGTTGTTGCTGCTAACAAATAACCCCCAAAACTTAGTGAGTAAAACAACAAGTTGGTTTTTGGATTGTTTGTTTGTCTTTGCTTATAAATTTATAATATGGGGAGGGCTTGGCAGGGGAGAGCTTGTCTCTGTTCCAAGTGGTGTCAACTGGGGGGAACTTGACCAGGTGCTGGAGGATCTACTCTCAAGGTTTTCACTTATGTGGCTGGCACGGCCTACTTGAATTTTCTCATGGTATGTAACGGGATTCTAAGAGCAAGTATCCTAAGAGAATGAATTAGAAGCGGCATTACCTTTATGACTTAACCTTGGAAGGCAAGATCCTTTTTGTTGTCCTCAAGAGCCTGCCTGTATCTAAGTGGAGAGGATTTAATTCCTGCTTCCACTTGGTGGGAGAGTGTTAACTGAAGCCATGTTCTAGGAAGTCATTATTTTTAAAAATTTTGAATTTTTATTTATTCGTTAATTTGAGACAGGGTCTTGCTGGGTTGCAGTGGCATGATCATAGCTCACCATAACCTCTAGGCCACAGTGATTCTCCTGCCATGGCCTTACAGGTAGCTACTGTAGAGGCACATGCCATTACACTGAGCTAATTTCTTAACATTTTTCTGGAAAGGGGGTGTCACTGTATTATCTAGGCTGGTCTGGAACTCCTGGCCTCATGCACTCCCCTCACTTTGCCCTCCCAAAGTGCTGGGATTATGGGCATGAGCCACTGCACCCAGCAAGAACATATTCTTGCAGCCACTTCTGGACAATACAAATTCTTACAATGCCTGAGCTGTTTTGTTGTTGCTTTAATGGGGTAAGAGTTAACTCACGTGGATTTGTGATACTCCCAATTGTGTTTGATCACTTTGATTTAGGATAGAAGAAGTCAGTTTGCTCCTTTGGCCCAGGCTTAATTCAGAATGATCAGTAGTCTTTGCACTTTGGGCTGTGATTGTGAATTCTAGAGGTGAGGGAGTCCGGAATTAAAATAGAAGCTTTATATTATTTTTTAATTATGGAAATAGGGATGAATGTAGATCAGAGTGGTTTCTGTTCAATTTTATCTGGAAGCTTAGCGAGCAATCCCCATGGCACTGCCCTCCCTACTCGCCGAAGGATGCAGAAAAGAGCATCAACATAACTGTCTCTTTTCTGGCTGGGTGAGGACATAGTTTGTGCTTTTCCCTGTTGATTTCATTAACGCACAGCTTAGGTTTGGCATCAGTCTGATTACATCCAGGCCTCTCACACTGCTGTGACTAGTACCTCATGACTCACACCTAGC